CCAGAGCCACATGCTTACGGACTGCAGGACTCCATTCACATTTCATTCCACGCAAAGGACACACTCTACATTCGCTGTGACCTTGAGTGGGTGACTTAAGCTCCTTTGAGGCTCAGTTTACTTATTCCTGAAAAACGAGATCAAACCACTTTCCTCATGGGGCTATGACAAAGGTCAAGTGAGATAATATGTGTATTATCCCTTTGAAACCTATAAAGGATGACACCTAAGGATGGTGATATTTTTCTTCTCCGCTGTTGCTCCTGTTACCGGAAAACACTGTCCCGGGTGATTAGGGCAATCTCTAATTTGGCAACACATTTGTGCAATCAGCACGACTATTCAGAAATATTATCCGAGGCTTGGAAACAGAGTAAAAGATGGCTGCATGACATTGAATGTGCCAGACACGATCTGTTCTCTAAGGAAACGTAGCTCTGCTTAACCTACTATTTAATCAATTAGGAACCAGACATTTTAGAGTTCTCGAAACTTAAAAATTAATGGTAGACAGTAGGAAGGTATGATGATTTTCTTTTATGACCAGCAGAAAAGACTACCCCAAAGCTTGCAGTTGCATTTTTCTTAGAGAACAGTGGTTCTCAGGGTGTCGTGCCCGGACCAGCAGCATCGGCACCGGCTGGGAATGTATAAGAAATGAAGTTTCTCAGGCTCCACTCTAGGGGAGTCACAAACTCTAGGGGTGAAGCGCAGCATCCCAAGTTTCCTCTGTTATACGCTCCAGTTTGAGAACCACTGTTTAGGACAGTAACCGAGTTTTAAAGCAATAATTAGAAAATCTTATTTCATCATTCCCTTTTTTCCACTGATTATCGAAATCCCATTTTCCCGTGTCATCTTTTGACCTATGTCTTCCTGTTGTTCCCTTGTTCATAAGTTAAATAAAACTTTGGCGTTGCTATTTTTGTTGTTGTTGTCATTGTTAAATTGAGATAGAACTGACATATAACATTATATTAGTTTTTGGTGTACAACATAAGGATTAGACATAAATATATATATTGCAGAGTGATTACAATAATGTCTCATTAATGTCCATCACCGTTCAAATTTGCCTATCACCCATCCCCATCTTTGGCCACTACCAAGCTAACCTTTGCATCAATGAGTTTGGGTTTTTTGGTTTTCTGTTTTATTTTAAATGTTAGCATAGGTTTTTTAAAAAAGTTTATTATTTTTGAGAGGGAAAGAGAGAGCACAAGCAGGGGAGGAGCAGAGAGAGAGAGGGAGACAGAGAATCCAAAGCGGGCTGCGTGCTGTCAGCACAGAGAGTCTGACACAGGGCTCAAACTCACAAACCGCCATGGGATCATGACCTCTGCCCAAGTCTGACGCTTCACCGACTGAGCCACTCAGACACTGCTGTTTTCTGTTTGTTTTTTTTTATTCCACATGTAAGTGAGATCATTCGGTATTTGTCTTTTCTGACTCCTTTCACGTAGCATAATGCCCTCAGGGTCCATCCACGTTATGGATTTCCTTTTTTATGGCTGAATAATATTCCATTGACCACAGTAGAGAAAATGTGTTGTGTCTATATAAACACAACGGAATGTTATTCAGCTACAAAAAGAAATCCTGCCATGTGCAATCCCTAAGGATCTTTCAATACTTTCAAAACATTGTTCCTTTGTTCCCCAGTATATAATGTCTTGTTTTTCTCTAGCAGCTATCAAGATTTGTTCTTGGGGCACCTGGGAGGCTCAGTCAGTTAAGCGTCCAACTCTTGATTTAGGCTCAGGTCATGATCTCACAGTTGTGGGTTTGAGCCCTGCCTCGGGCTCTGTGCTGTTGGCATGGAGCCTGCTTGGGATTCTCTCTCTCTGCCTCTCCCCTGCTCAGACTCTGTCTCTCAAAATAAATAAATAAAATTAAAAAAAAAAAAGGGATTTGTTCTTTATTATTTATTTTTAGTAGTAAACCATGTTGTGCCTAGACATGTTTTCTGCACACTTACCCTACTTGGGATTCAATGGCAGTTTAGAATTTGTACATTTATATCCTTCACCAAACTGGGGAAAATTTCTGCTATTATTTCCTCAAATATATTTTCACTCTCATAGTCTCTCCCCACTCCTTCTGGGACTTGAATGACACATATGTTAGGCCTTTCGATATTGTCTCACAGGTTTGTGAGGCTCTGTTCAGTTTTTCAGTATTTTTTCCTTGTTCTGATTGGATCGTTTCAATTGATCCATTTTCTTTCTTTTTATTTTGTTAATGTTTATTTATTTTTGAGAGAGAAAGAGAGACAGTGTGAGTGGGGAAGGGGCAGAGAGAGAGGGAGACACAGAATCTGAAGCAGGCTCCAGGCTCTGAGCTGTCAGCACAGAGCCCGATGCGGGGCTTGAACTCATGAGCCGTGAGATCATGACCTGGACCGAAGTTGGATGCTTAACCAACTGAACCGCCCAGGCACCCCTCCTTTGATCTATTTTCAAGTTTCCTTACTTTCCTATGTCATTCCTATTCTGGTCTTAAGCCCCGTTGGCGACCTTTTTATTGGAGATACCGTATCCTTCAGTTCCAGGACTACCATTTGGTTTTATATATAGGTTGTATTTCCTGAGGCTATTTCCTATCTTTTCATTCATTTCAAGGATATTGTCCTTTCCTTCACAAAGCACAGTTACCATAGCCATTTTGTTCACCTCTGTCTTTTCTCTTGAAAATGAATTGTATTTTCATATTTTTCTTCATATATGTCAAATCATTTTGAATCGTATCCTGAATGTTATAAATGTCATATTGTTTTCAGTATGGATTTTGTCATATACCTCCAAAGAGAGTAGATATTTTTGTTTCAGCTGGCACGAATTTAGAATTTAACTATTCCTTAGGTGGCAGCTTAAATCTCTGCTTGCTTTTTTTGTTCTACTTGGGCTGTTTGGAATTTGCCTCAGCCATGAATGGCTAAGTGGTCAACTAGATGCTTAGACAGAGTTTACACATAGACTCTGGGGCTTCCCTTCTCTCTCTCCTCACTTTTCGGTGGTTTGGTTGGTCTGTACTCTGTTCTCCGCTTCCTCAGTCAAGAAAGAGGGGAGTCTTCTATCAGAGTTTCAGCCTCCCTGTTTGGGTTCCTCCGAGTGTAGCCTGCACTCAATGTATAAACCATAAAAAACAGGTTACTTCCTTTGGGCAGGTCCCAAACCTCTCACTTTGGTTCACTCTCCAACGCTTTCAGGTGTCTGTTTTTGTATTGTCTCCAGAGATCATAGTTGCCACCTGAGGGACGGTTAGATCATCTTGGAAACAACATTTCCATGGGTGTTTTACATTTCTTTAAATTTGAAAACAAAAATTAAAAAAAAAAAAAACAGATACAGAAAGTAACATTTTAGACCACGGTAGTCTCATGGGTGGTGGGCAATACTGTTGAAGGCAAATCTCTCAACATGTCATTTATTTTACTTATTTATTTTTGAGAGAGAGAGACAGAGCATGAGTGAGGGAGGGGCAGAGAGAGAGGGAGACACAGAATCTGAAAGAGGCTGCAGGCTCCGAGCAGTCAGCACAGAGCCCGACGCGGGGCTCGAACTCACGGACCTCGAGATCATGACCTGAGCCGAAGTCGGCCGCTTAACTGACTGAGCCACCCAGGCGCCCCAGTATTTCCATGTTTAATGTTTAGTGTTTTTAATGTTTTCCACAGTGGCTTCATCAATTTACATACCAATGTGCAATTTTTTTCTTATTGAAGTGTAATTCACATAAAGTGTTAGTTTCTCAGTGCTCATCAATATAAGTGTACTCCTAATCCCCTTTATTTCACCCATGCCCACCCCCTGCCCGAGCCCCCACCCCAGCCCCCCGTCAGGCAGCCACCAGCTTGTTCTGTTTTGAAGAGTCTAGGTTTTCTTTTTTCCTTCGTTCATTTGTTTTGTGTCTTCAATTCCGCATAAGTGAAATCATAGCATCCATTGTGGGATTCTCAAAGCAGGATATGATCTGAATCATTTCAATGCCCGGCAACTGCCGGGCAGGGTACAAAGATGGGAGAGGCCTGAGGAGTCCCAGATGAGGGACTCCTACTGCGAACAAAACTGACAGCGAACCAGGGAGTACCGCCTGGGGTGGGAAAGCCCAGGCTGGGGCTTGGCACGGAGCCGGAGACCAGGGGAGACTGCGTGGATTTGCAAGGCCCAGCCCGTGGCTCCGCCTCTTTGCGGCAGAGCTCAGGCCGGTGCAAACCGGTTCAGTGCCCCGACGGACACACCGCAGCAGCACCCAATCCTCCGCTCGCCCCCTCCTCCCCAGTTCTCCTTGGGAGACCGGGAGTGGCAAGCGGCCAGCTTGGCCAGAGGCAGCTCTGAACCAGGCGGCCTGGGCTGACAGCTAACGACAACCACCGCTGGCGCTGCGGGGAGACCTGCGAGCCGGGGTGTAGGCGGGGGGCCGGCCCCCGTCGGCTCCGTGCCCCGCAGTCCACTCTGGCGCGGACTACCCCGGAGCCTGCGGGCTCGGGAGGCGGAGGGGTGGCGGGGCGGGCCCGGGAGCGGCCGGGGCCTGCGCAGTGCGGCGCCCGCGCCCGGCGGGGGATGACGTAACCTCCGCCT